CTGATTTGATATCGGCGTGTATGTGTATGTGTGTGTGTCTGTATGTCGGAGGTTGGGGAGCGAGAGTGTAGTGACCTCATTCGGGGCATCGCTTTCGGTCCTGGCTCGCGTCGTACGAGCGTGTAAGGAGACGCTGCTCGTGGGCGACGGTATGCGAGCCGAGACTGGGGCCAAGTCGGACAGCACTTTCTCCGTGGCCTCGCGGTGCCTCGCGGGTGGTCTCGTGAGATGCCCCGTGGTTGGCCCGCGGCTGTCCCGTGGGCTGTCCCGTGGCCTGTCTCGTGGTTGCTCCGCGGGTTGTTCAAAGGGCTCTCTGGTGGTTATCACATTGTTGTCCCGTGGGTTGTCCCGTGGCCTGTCCCGCGAGTTGCTTAATACCTGTCCTGTGGGTGCCCCGAGAGCTGTTGCGTGGGTTGTCCCGTGGTTCTCGCGCGACAGTGCAAAACCAATTGAAAACGATATGCACATCAAAATGGAGCACCAACTGCCAGAAACATGCACATCGAAATGTACATCAAAATTCACTTCGAATTGCGATCGACATGATAGTCAAATTGCAAGTGCAACCGATATGCCCGAGCCCTCAGAGACCGCTTAGGGCACACACACACACGCACACACACACACACACGCACACACACACACACACACACACACGCACGCACACGAGGTTTGACACTGCCGACCCCTTCGGGGGGGGTCGGTCCCCCAGACCGCTGCCAAGCCCTGCGAAGCATGGTTCCCCCTATACCTTGGAGAGCACCCGGAGGGGGGCCACCAAGGAGCCGACGACCTTCTGCTGCAAGGTTCGAGGCGGCAAACCGGCCCCGAACACCAGCCGTGTTGCGTCAAAAGCTGCCGTGGCGCCTAGCCCTTGGCGGCGAGCGAGGGGGGGAAGTGAGAAGGAGAAGGCCTTCTGAGAGGCTCGGAAGTCCCCCGGCCTTCTGAGAAGCTTTCTAAGCCTTCCCCGAGGACACAAAAAACCTCTCAAGGGCTTCTAAGAGATCCCGCCGCCTTCTAGGAAGATCTTCTCATTATCACTTCCCCCCTCGCTCGCCATCGATAGCTCTGCCTTTAGGTCGGGCATGTCCCCTTACAGGCGGAGTTTGGACGAGAAATCAGAAATCGTCAAAAAATGCTTAAAAATATCCAGCAATAGTCGAAAAATCGTCCCCAGACTATCTTTTGACTACTTTTGATGATTCCTCCTGTAGAGTGACAGGCCCGACGTAAACCTGCCGCTGCGCAGCCAGGGGGCCACTTCCCGAGGCGCCCCGCCGGGGCCCCAGCGTTGCCCCAGGGGCCGCAGGGCGCCCAGGAAGGGGCGCAGGGACGTGTCGTGGCGGGGCCCTCACCCCGAGGGGTACCCTCGGGGGTGGACAGAACCCCCTTTAGCACAGCGTGGCTTAGTGAAAACGCCCTCGGGCCCAAACCTGGCGTGCGCCATCCTGGAAAATGACGGCCGCGGCGCCCTCTCGAGAACGAAAACGGACGAGTCACGAATCGACGTGTCAGGGTGGGGGTTTTTGTCCACCCCCGATACCCTTATGCTGCTCCCATCGTACTTGTAGAGGCCTCCTAGAAGGGGTCGGAGTAGACGGGGTGGGAGGATCGTGCCGCATCGCCGATGCATCGGCGATGCATCGGCAACGCATCGGATGCCTCGGCGATGCACCGGCGATGCATCGGCGATGCACCGGCGATGCATCGTCGGCGTCGGCGATGCATCGGCGACGTCGACGTGAAGCAAATCGGGCTCTGCATCGAGCCGCATCGCCGATGCATCGGCGATGCGGAGCGATCCTCCGACCCCATCTACTCCGACCCCATCCAGGAGGCCTAGAACTTAGGGGCCACATCCAAGAAATAATTTCGAGCACCCCGAAAAGTGTCGAAACAGTGTCGAACGAGCGTCGCCTCCCAGGGCCCGGCACGTGAAAACCCTCAAGGAGTCGAGTGGGGGTCGACTACAGCATCGATTTTCCCAAAAATTGATGTCCACGTCGAACCTACAACAAATACGTACAGCGGGCCCGTATCATAGGGACGCGCGATGAGGATGCAAGGGCCTCGGCCGCCCATCTCGAAGCTTCTCGAGCGGGGCGCGGCCAACGAGAGTGGCCAAGGATGGGCCGAGGAGGCAAGGATGCAAGGGTACCCTTGGGAAGGTTGCCCATCCTCACCATGCGGGCTGACTGTAGAATGCTCGTAGATCTCCGCCGTCGTCGCCGCCGCCGCCGCCGTGGCCGTCGTTGCCGTCGCCGCCGCCGCCGCCGCCCGCGTCGCCGTCGCCGTCGTCGTCGTCGGCGGCGGCGACGACGACGACGGCGACGGCGTACGCATGTGTCAGGGGCTCGACGAGAGAAATCAACTTGGAAGTAGATCCGTTCTGCAGTCGACTCCCCACTCGATGGAGGGGGGCCGACTCCCCGGAGCACCCGGCCCCCCAAACCCAGGGGGCCAGCGCACCCGCAGGCCAGCCGCACGCGCCCGCGGCGAGCCCGGGGGGGGGAAGCGAGCAGGAGAAGGCCTTCTCGGAAGGCTCGGAGGTCCCCCGGCCTTCTGAGAAGCTGTCCTCCAAGTCTTTTCACGGGCGAGGAACAGCATAACAGAAACGTGTTCGATGTCCGGGGCGCATGTCCCAGGGCGGAAAAGTTTATCTGATACCGTTGAGTCTTCCCCGCTGAGTCTTCCCCGGAGTCAGACACGAACCTCTCGAAGGCGCGAGGGCTTCTGAGAAAACCCGCCGCCTTCCGAGAGTGCCTTCTCCTTCCCGCTTTCCCCCCCCCCCCCTCGCTCGCCGCCGAGCGCAGCAAACAAGCCTGAGGAGGAGGAGGAGGAGGAGGAGGAGGGAGGAGGAGGAGGAGGAGGAGGAGGGGGGAGGATGGGTGAGGAGTAGGAGTAGGAGTAGGAGTAGGAGTCAAGCTAGCCAGCTCGAGCGAGTCAAGCATGGCATGCCCAGTCCCACCCGCCCTCCCACAACATAAGAAGCAAAGCTGGCACAACTGGGGGCCGAAGTCACACCGGCCAGCCGGTTTGGTACAGCTGATGCGGCCGCGATGGCGGTTGCCGACGGGAACTGGCGAGCGCGTGTTGAATGCCGCGCACGCATTGCCAGACGAGTCGAGAATGGCCCGGTACACCGCAGGAAGCCAGAGGTGGCCGGAGGAAGCCCGACGGTCTGACAGGACACCCCAAAACATTTTTGTGAAAAACAATTGGATTTTTGATGTTTTTATGTTGAAATGCTTGCAAACACACGGTGTTCGGTAGGATTCTGACATGAACGCGCGAGTGTGCTTTTGTGGTATTTTTTGCACAGGATTCGCGGCCTGGGTGCATGACAGAGCATCGCGAGTGCACCGCGCGATGACGTGAAATCGCTGGATTTGACCGAATTCTTAAGATTCCTATGGTTTTCCTATGATTTCAGCAAGAGAGCCCGGGCGGGAAATTTGTACAATTTTTGTGAAAAAGCATTGGGTTTTTGATGTTTTTATGTTGAAATGCTTGCAAACACACGGTGTTCGGTAGGATTCTGACATGAACGCGCGCGTGTGCTCTTTGTGGTATTTTTTGCAATGGATTATCGCCGTGGACGACAGGACGTCCATGTCGAGAGGAAAAAATAAGAAAAATGTTGATTTTGTATTGTTTTTTACAGGTTAGGATGGGACCCCCCGGATGCGGCCCCTAATGGCCGGCCTGAGGGGGGAGTAGGAGTATATTCTAATAAGGAATAAGGATAGGAGGAGGAGGAGGAGGAGGAGGAGGAGAAGGTCTGGGCACCGCGCCCGCCCGAGGTCGGCTCCGCCGCCGCCGCCGCCGCCGCCGCTGGCACGGTGCCGGAGGGCGGGAGGCGGGAGGGGGCGCCCCGGGCCCCACACCGGGAAGCCCCGCGCTCCCGCAGGTCCGTGGCACGCACGCGCGCCCTCCCGTCCGTTGCGCTGCGCCCGATCGAACAAGTCGGCCCTGTGCAGAGCTCGAGTGAAAGAGAAGTGCGCCGTCAAAGCTGCACGCCGTCAAACCAACGACGCCGCGGCCGGCCTCTTGCACGATGCGGGCGGCTGTTGTTCAGCGCCGCACATGCCATAGGTGACCAGTCGTGCGCTAGTCTAGGCAGCGAGGGAGCGTGGTGGGACATCAGACGATTCAGCAAATGCTTCTTGCGCTTTGCCCTCCCGTCCCCCCCAAAAAAAAGAAATACGCACGGGGCTTCGGTCGGGAATGTTCTCCTACAGGCGGAGTTTGGGAGACAGGAAAGAAGATGATCAACTAAATTGTCAAAAACAGCGGTAAAAGGGCACGAAACATCGTCTATTCTTTCACCGTTCTGGAATTATCCTCCTGTAGAGGGACGCGCCCGACTTCGAAATGTACCCAAAAAGCCCTGGAGTTGGGCGAGGGTTCTGGTCGTGGGCTTGGTATATAAAGCGCCCCTCCCTTGGGGCGTGACAATCGTATACTCAACGTGGCCCCAGGCGATGGAATATGGTTGAGGCGGGAAGAATGCGGTATAGAAAAAATTATCGAGGAGCTCTGTCCTGGTTTCCCCCTTCTGAGAAGCCTCTGTGCACCCCCAGTCGGCGGAGCGTCCTGGGGAGAAATGAGACGGGGGGCTTCTCGGAAGCCCTCCAGCCTTCCGAGAAGCCGTCCACGTCTTCGGGGAAAACTCAGAAAACTTGTCAGAAGGCCCGAAAGCTTCAAAGCCTTCTGAGAACGCCCGCCCCTCCCGAAGAAACCAACCGGCACCGATACCGCTACACCCTGGACCTCTCCCAGAGTGCGTTCTGACCAGAACTTCGAGGCGAATCCAGCGGTGGCAACGAGGGTCTCCCAGGAGGCCCAACGAGGCGAAAGCGAGGCAGGGCTGGCAGCATCGGTGCCTCTTCCTCCCCTGCAGGAGGAGGAGGAGGAGGAAGAGCAGGAGGAGGAGGAGGCGGAGGAGTAGGAGACTGAGGAGTAGGAGAAGGAGGAGGAGGAGGAGGAAGAGCAGGAGGAGGAGGAAGAGCCGGAGGAGGAGGAGGAGGAGGAGGAGGAGGAGAACGAGAAGTAGGAGGAGGAGGAGGAGGAAGAGGAGGAGGAAGGGAGGAGAAGTAGGAGGGAGGAGGAGAAGGAGGAGAGGGAGGAGGAGGAGGAGGAGGAGGAGGAGCCAGCGAACAAGCCTGCGCTCCCCGCCCGCCTGAGTCGGAGCTGCTGCTGCTGGCGCTGTCTGAGGGCGGGAGGCGGGAGTGGCGCGCGCACGGACAGGCCAGGCAGGCGCAAAGAGGGCAGCAGAAACTGTTTGTCCCCACATCGTCCCCAATCCTCATCTCCTCCTCGCTCCTCCTCCTCCTCCTCCTCCTCCTCCACCTCCTCTCCTCCTCACTCCTCCTCCTCCACCTCCTCCGCTCCTCCTCCTCCCCCTCCAGCACCACCCCTCCTCCTGCTCCACCTTCCTCTCCTCCACCTCCTCCTTCCTCCTCCTCCTCCGCCTCCTCCTCCTCCTCCCTCCTCCATCCTTCTCCTCCTCCTCCTCGCACCTCCTCTCCTTCATTTCCCTCCCCCACCTCCCCCCTCGACTGCCCATCAACATCCATCATCATCATCATCATCATCATCAATCATCATCAGTCATCATCAACATCATCATCAATCATCAGCATCATCATCATCATCATCATCATCATCATACATCATCATCATCATCATCCTCAATCATCATCTCATCATCATCATCATCATCATCATCATCATCATCATCATCATCATCATCATCGTCGTCGTCGTCCATCAATCAATCATTCATCATCATCATCATCATCATCATCATCATCATCATCATCATCATCATCATCATCATCATCATCATCATCATCTATCATCATCATCATCATCATCATCATCATCATCATCATCATCATCATCATCAGCAGCAATCATCAGCATCATCATCATCATCAGCATCATCATCATCAGCATCATCATCATCATCATCATCATCATCATCATCAGCAGCAGCATCATCATCATCATCATCATCATCATCATCATCATCATCATCATCATCATCATCATCATCATCATCATCATCATCATCAATCATACATCAGCATCATCATCATCATCATCATCAGGCACATCATGCGCCATCATAAGGAGGGGGATCAGGTTGCATCATCCTCGGCAGCAGCACATAGCGGGCATGCGCATCATTGCTGCCGTCATTCATCCTCAAGCATCCAGCATCAGCATCCAGGTCAATCAGCAAGCAGTCGGCATCAGCATCATCAGCAGCATCCCAGCAGCATCATCATCCGTGCCCAGCAAGACGCATCATCACATCATCATCATCAGCACATCATCTCAGCCACTTGCAGCACAGCACAGCGCATCATCAGCATCATCATCATCAGCATCATCATCATCATCATCCATCATCATCATCATCATCATCATCATCATCATCATCATCATCATCATCATCATCATCATCATCATCATCATCATCATCATCATCATCCGTAGCCATTTGGGTTCAATATGTTTCTCCACGTCTCTCGGAGGCGCCCACGCGCAGCAGTCAGCGGCGCGCGATTGGGAGATGAGCGATGGCGATGGGGGGCTGCCGCTGGCGCGAGGGCGGGGCGGCCCATCAGGCTTGGCAGTGCGCTGCGCAGGAAGGAGGGGGACGAGGTTGGCGCTTCGGCGGCCCGCCGACGAGCGCGGGCATGGCGCCTCCTTGCTGCCGTGGCGGCGGCTGGCAAGGCGGCCAGCGGCGGTCCAGGTTCCTGGCAAGACCGTGAGGCTGCTGCGCGCCCTGCCCTGCGCCTGGCCGCCTCGGGATGCCGTGTCCCAGGCGCGACGCGGCGGCGGCGGAACGCCGCGTGGCACGCGCTGCTGGCCCCTGTGCGCGGACTCGCCCGCGCGTCCGCAGAGGGCATCTCGCGGGCCGCGGCAGGCCCCCGCCTGGGACGGCAGCCCACGAACCCCGTGGTGCTCGACGAAGCGCCCGGCCACGCGGAGAACGGACGACGAGGAGCCGGCCGACCCCCTCCAGGCGAGGATGGCCGCTGCGCGCACGGCTCGCTTGGCGGCGGGGCTCGTCGCGCAGCTGCAGGCCCTGCGCGAGCAATCGCGCCCGCGGCGGCGCGCCGCCTGTCCACCACCCTTCACCCCCACGCTGGAGGTCATCAGCGAGGATGTCGGTGAGACCGTGGACGAGGAGCTCGGGCCCGAGGAGGAGGAGAATGCGCTGTACGTGGCGTTCCCTGGCGGCGACGCGCACGCCGACACGGGCCCAGAGCGGGCAGAAGGGCCCCTGCCAGCAGCCGCCAGCCCCAACGGCGCGCCCCAGCTCGCCGAGGCCGCGGCGGAGCCCGTGTCGCACGAGGGTTTGGTGGCGTACAGGACGTGGGTCAGCCTCCCCACAGACGCCTTCGGGTACCTGTGCAAGGCGTGGGCGGCCTTCGGGAGGTCGCCGACGCCTGTTACGCGGCGGCGAGCTCTGATCACGGCCGTCGGCCGCGACGAGTTCGACGGTGAGGTGCTGCTGGCGGGGCTGGGCTTCGTCGTGGAAAGGCGCCAGGAGATCGGCCCTCGCGGTGTAGCACCGCCCGTTCGCCTCTGCAGCGCGTGCAGTGACGTTCTGCTCGTGGCGCCAGGCGGGTCCGAGGATCACGAATGCCTGCGACGAGCGTCTGGCCTTCGGCGGGGTGAAGGGACCCCGTGGCGTAGGCTGTACCCCGCGGGGCTCGGCACACGCCTGGGTTCACTCCCGCCCGCCCCTCTCGGGCTTGTTATGCTTCGTTGCTCTGCAGCTTGCTGCGTACCAGCCCGCCTTTCGTGCACGCGCTTCTGTGGCGGGCTGAGTCTCTGTCTGCCTAAATACGTCGATCGTCTGCTTCGGCCGAGGCGGTCGCTAGCTCTGGGCATTCGTGAGAATCTGCGTGTGTGCGCCGAGGCGCACGAGACTTGGCGCTGCCTCCGCAGACCAAAAGGAAACGCCTCGGTCCAGGGGCAGGACGAGCTGGGAGCTCCTGACCCCTTCAGCCGCGGGGATCATCATCATCACCACCATCATCACCATCATCATCATCATCAGCAGCATCAGCATCAGCAACAGCATCAGGATCAGCAGTATGATCATCATCAGCCGCATAAATATCAGCGCCAGCATCAGCATAGTCATCAGCGTCATCGTCAGCGTCAGCACCACTATCACCATTATTATTATTATTATCATCATCATCATCAACATCAACGTCAGCATCATCCTCAGCAACATCCACATCCTCGTCATCATCAGCAAACGTATCATCATCCAGCACCTGCATCATCTCCATCAGCAGCATCATTATCATCCTCATCATAATCATCATCAGCATCCTCCTCATCATCACCATACAGCATCATCATCATCCACATCATCAGCATCAGCAACAGCATCATCCTCACCAGCATCAGCATCATCAGCAGCAGCAGCAACAGAACCAGCAGCAGCAGAAGAAGCATCATCAGCAGCAGCAGCATCAGCAGCAGCAGCATCATCAGCAGCATCATCATAGTCATCATGTTCATCATCATCATCACCACCACCATCATCATTAGCCACAGCATCATCATCAGCAGCATCAGCATCGTCATCACCAGCATCGTCGTCATCATCATTATCAGCATCAGCAGCATCATCGTCATCAGCAGCATCATCATCACCGTCAGCAGCAGCAGCATCATCATCGCCATCACCATCACCAGCATCATCATCATCATCGTCATCATAAGCATACCACCACCACCACCATTACCATCCTAACCGCAAGCATCACCCAACATCGTCATCAGCAGCAGTATCATTATCACCATCATCGTAATCATCATCACCGTCAGCAGCACAAGTATCATCATCAGCACCACCACCAGCAACAACGACGACAACAACCACAACAACAACCACAACAACAACCACAACAACAACCACAACAACAGCAGCAACAACAACCACAATCACAACCACCACCACAACCACCACAGCAAGAGAAACAACAGCAGCAACGACCGCATCATCATCACCACCACCACCACCATCACCATCGCCATCATCATCACCACCACCATGACAATCGCCATCACCATCACCATCATCATCATCATCATCATCATCCTCATCACCATCATCATCATCATCATCATCATCCTCATCATCATCATCATCATCATCATCATCATCATCATCATCATCATCATCATCATCATCATCCATCGCTCCACCCAAGCCAAAGAATGATTTTGTGTTTGCAGGCCAGGCAAGTGCACATGACGACGGGCCGGCTCGTACCAAGGATCGGCCGGCAGCGGAGGAGGGAAGCGACCAGGAAGGAGGACACCACCACCGACCAGGAGGGAAGGGAGGGCGGGCGAAAGAAAGGCGATGGAGCAGATACAAATGTTGGCCCCTGCAGTGCGAACATATCTGGCGGCTCTCATTGCGCTTCCGGATTAAAAGTTCGGAGAACGACCGTCCAGCTCTCCACCCAAGCCAAAGAATGACGTTGTGTTTGCAGGCCAGGCAAGTGCACATGACGACGGGCCGGCTCGTACCAAGGATCGGCCGGCAGCGGAGGAGGGAAGGGACCAGGAAGTAGGACACCACCGAGGGAGGAGAAGGGACCCCAAGTCCCAGGAAGGCTTCTGGCCAAAATGGCCGTCACAACGGTCAGAAAATTAGCCACTGCTGAAGGCGGGCCAAGTGCAGACTCTGAACGCAGTTCATAATGGCAGCGGCGAAGGTCGAGGCCATCCGACGCGGATAGCTCTGTGCTACTTGTGTCCAGAGCTTGCATGAGGCGGGATCTCTGCACGTGAGAACGGTGTGATGATTGTGCGAATGAAGGCAGATCGTTACGAGCATTACACAACTTGGGCAGCCTGATCTTGAAACAGTGAGCCTATGCTTGGACCTGGGTTCGTTTTCTCCACTGGGTCCCAAATCCACAAAAATCAAAAAAGAGGCGTTGCGAAGAGGGAAGGGAGGCGAGTCTGACGAGCGAGGGGTAGACCAAAGAAAAGAGGAGGCAGGGTTCTCGAGGAAAGCGGTGGTTCCCTGGCGTTCGCGACCTCGAATGACCGGGCCACCCCCGTGACCTCCCCCCCCACCCCGGTGGCCTCCCCCCCCCCGGTGGCCTCCCCCACTCCCGATGGCCTCCCCCCCCCCAGTGGCCTTCCCCACCCTGCGGCCTCCACCCACATTGCCCCTCCGCCCCAGGAGGCCCCCCCCCCTTAGTTGCATTCCCCCTCCTAGGGAGTCCACAAAGGACGTACGCGCCCAGCTATGTACATGAACACGGCCCCTCGATCCGCGAGACGGGCCGCGTTACACGAACATTTGCGCAATGCGTACTCTCGAAACCAGCGTGGATTCATGTACGTGTACGTCCTTCTGTCGCTCGTGACCTCCAGCGGCTTCCCCCCCTGGGAGGCCTCCCTCCCTGGTGGCCTCCCCCACCCCGGTGTCCCTCCCCCGTTGGCCTTCCCCCGTGGCGACCTGCGTTGGTCCCTGGATGGTCTCTGCGGGAAAATCCCACCAGCCCTTTGGGCGCAGGTGGTTTAGAGCGCTTCCTTTTCCAGCCTCCTTCCTTTCCCTGCTCGAGAGGTTTACCTCCCTCCCCCCTGGTTCTGGACGGGCTTCCCCACGAGGGGGTAGTGCGTCCAAGATGGCCCAAGATAGCTTCAAGAGGGCTTTAGCTAGCCCAAGATGGCCTCCAAGACCGCCCAAGATACCTCGACGGCTCAAGATAGCCTCCAACACGCAACCAAGAGGCCTCAAAACGGCCCCAAGGCGCTTTCAAGTGCCCTCCGAGCCCTCCAAGGACCCCCCAAGAGGCCACAATGGGTTCAAAACCTAAGGAAAATGAATGTGTGTTGCCTTGTCGTTTTGTCGTTTCCGATGGGCTCCTGAAGCGTCAAGATGGCCCCAAGATGGCCCAACATAGCCCCAAGAGAGGCCCAAGAGGGCCCCAGGACGGCCCAAAGAGCGCCTAAGAGCGCCAGAAGAGCGGTCCAAGCAAGAGGGCCCCAAGACGCCCCTTTTGGGCCTCCGAAGGGGGGGGGCCTAAATCTAAGAAACCCGTCTTTTTGTTGAGCGAAGAGTTGAGCGAAGAGGTCCAAGACGGCCCCAAGAGACCCCCCAGACCCCCCAAAAGAGCCCCAAGAGGGCCCCAACTCCCCACAGAGGACCCCAAGATGGCGCCCAAATGGCATTACGAGTCTTCGAAGGTCCCCTCACCACGACAAATGCCCAAAAGCCCGACTTCTCGTTCGCCTTGTCATCGTCCGTTCCTTCCTTGCTTCTTTCCTGTCGCCTCCCTGCTCCTCTTCATCCTCCTCGCGCCGCGTTCCTCCTGCTCCTCCTCCCCCTTCCCTTCCTCCTTTTTTGTTCCTCCTCCTCCTCCTCCTCCTCCTCCTCCTCCTCCTCCTCCTCCTCCTCCTCCTCCTACTCCTCCTACTCCCCCTCTTACCCCAAGATGGCCCCAGGCATCACCAGCACCAGCAGTACCACTTGCTCCAAGATGACTCCAAGAGGGCAACAGAGCACCACAAGCAGCAACACCTGCAGCATCACCACCACCACCGCCACCACCACCACCACCATCACCAGCACCGGCAGCCGCACGCGACTTAAGATAAACTTCAGTGCGGGACAGGGACCAAGGATGCATACGCGGATCAACTGTGCGACAAGGGCGACGAATGATAGATACAGCCACCTGAGCCACAGGGAACACCCCGGCGCATCTTGCACTGGCTTCAGTCTTAAACTTCGCTGCGGGAAGCTCTGTGTGATCCTTGTTTATGATGGCCCAGGGTGGATACAGCCACCTGCGTTAGAGACGTTTACAACGGGGAGCACCATTTCGTATCTCGCACTGGTTCCCATCTTAAACTTCAATGCGGGAAGCTATGTGTGATTTTGTTTTTTCTGAAGACGGCCGCCCAACTGCATGCTTCCAGCCGTCCCTGATTTACCAACTCCCCTGCTGATCGTTTCTGGATGGGCTGGTGGGGATACTTGTGGTACGCGGGCGCAAACTGAGGCGGGCCGCGCCGAAGCACAGGAAAAAACAGCGAAGCGGCTGGTGGGGATTTTTTTGTCGCAGCCGCAGGCGAAGGCGCACAGCGGCGTCAAAAGTCAGTTCGGGCGACGAGCAAACCTAATTAACTTAGCGCGCGCGCACAGGCGGCTGCAGAACTACCGCCGAGGGGCGCTGAGCTGCGCCGAGGGCTGAGGCTGCAGGAGCTGCCAAGAGCTGCCAGGAGCTGCCAGATGAGCCAGGCAAGCGTGCGGGCATCCCGAAGGCGAGACCACCAGGAAGGATGAATTGAACCTTGTCGCACCAGGCGCCAGTGGCTGACGCGCCACAAGCGTGGCGAAGCGCGGGGCTGTATAAACAGACCAACGTGCTAGGCTGCAGGCCAACGGGGACGATCACACATGACAGACCAAGAAGGCTGGACCACTCCTGAGTAAACCAGTGGGGCAGAATCCCATCAAGCCAGCGGCAACGACAAACACGGCCAGGCGGCTGGTGGGGGTACTTGTCTCGGTCGCGTCCGCAAGCGAAGGCGCAAGCGGAGTCAGGAGCGCTACGGGTCACGACAGCGGCCAAATTAGCAGCTAAACGCGCCGCAAGCCAGCCGGCCCACTCATACAGCAGCGGCGCGGGAGGAGCGGCAAGCTGGGGGCGTCCAGGGTGCTCGAGCACTTGCAACACGGCAAATGCTGGTGAATTCAAAATGAGCCGAGTGGCAAAACCCGAAGGAGCGTGAGGACGATAGCTGAGGGCTGCGTGTCCAGTCGGGGTGTCCAGACGTGGTAAGCGATGGGCCGGCTGGTGGGGGTATTTTTTTTTTACAGCCGCGGGCGGAAGCGCCAGCGGCGGCGAGTAACGGTCGGGCTGCGGCCGAAACTAATTGGCCGGACGCGCGCGCAAGCCGCGGCCGGCGCCGGGCGGCGGGTGCAAGGGTGCTGCAGCCCAGGGGGTCTGACGACCAGGGACCAGCACCCAGGGAGCAGTAATTACGCTGCCAAAGTGGCACTGGTGGGTTTTTTTTTTACAGCCGCGGCGGAAGCGCCAGCGGCGGGAGGTCGCGGGCGGGCTACGGCCGCGACTAAATTGCCGAGCGCGCGCGGGGGCCGCGGATCAGGCGGCGGGTGGCGGCAGCGCCCAGGGCGGCAGAGCCGACGTGCAATCCAGGGAGCCTGAGACAGCCCCAGACCGGGCATGCAACGGTGCATCCAGGGAGCCTGAGGACAGGCACCGAGGAAACCAAGCGCAGCCAAAATGGCGCGTGAGGCGTTCCCAGAAGTCCAGATGCGAACAGAAGGAATGTTCCCGAGGACATCGATCCAGGGAGTCTGGCGGGTAACACAGACTGACTGGGGACGTAAGTCCAGCGGAAAATCCTGACGGCGACTCCAAGTCGCGACGCCAGAACGCGCATCCAGGGTGTGGAGCATGATGACAGGAGAACCTTCCACAACTGAGATGCGTCAGCCCAGATCCATCAAGTGGAGGGGCGCAGTAGTGCACAATACACAGTCGCGTAACGTGTGCACATCCAAAGTGACTCAGCGCTACCCAAACCGAGTCGGATAGCACCCGAGGGACGAGACCGTCATATACCCAAGACGCAACCCTCCGAGCCACTTCGATCACTGGTGGGGGTACGCGAAGCGTCAAGAATTTCCCCCCCCGCTCCCAGGGGAGGACCAACATGGCCGATGGCTCTCGGATCCTGTCCGCTCCTGCACTTCAGCTTTACATGACACTTTTTGCGGGTGCCGTGGTCCTGGAACCGTACCGGTACAGCGCAATCCCGGCACCGTACTGGCACCGGTACCGCGGGGTCCTGCTTTCGTGCTGGCGCTAGCGGTACCGGCGGCAAAAACCGGACACAGCTGACCGTACCAATACCACGTGCTCCTGATACTGGACCGCACTGTGCCGCAACGTGGCCACCATGAAGGAGTGGAGGGGAGGGGAGGGGAGGGGAGGGGAAGTGAACAGAAAAGAAGGAGAAGGAGAAGGAGCCGTAGCGACGGCGGCGAAGGCGGCAGGAATGGACAAGACGGCGGCGGCGGAGCGGGATCGCCGCCTGCGTCGCTGTCGGACGGAAGGTCGCCGTCGTCCGGGTCGTCGTCCTCCTCGCGCGCGGACGCGCGTGGTCCTCCTGCACATCATGCGTGTAGATCGTGCTTGCCCCTATCCCCCCGCCACCCCCACCCCCACCCGCGAAAGGGGGTGCTGCGAGAGAAAGGGGGGGAGGTGAAGGAAAAAGAAGAGGAGGAGAAGGAAAAGGCGGAGAAATAACAAGAGGCGGAGGAGGCGGAGGAGGGGCCCGGAAGAAGGATGAATGAGAAGGAGGGATGAATGAAAAAAAGGAGGGAGAGCGGGAGATGGGGAGAGAGGGTGGAGGAGGAGGAGGAGGAGGAGGAGGAGGAGGAGGGGGAGGACGGGGAGGAGGAGGGGGAGGAGGAGGAGGAGGAGGATAAGAAGCTTTTGTGGACATGAACCGAGAGTGCCCCAAGCTGATCAGAGATACAGCAGAGTTGCCAACGGGCATGCCTTTGTCTGAGCCTTCTTCGGGCGGGGCCCCCTGCAGAGCATCGACCACAGCTTGCTCAGCGGCGAGGGGAAGCCAGCGCAATGCGGAACCGTCTTCGCCAGCCTGGCGCAAGCACCTCTGCGACTCGCACCCGAAACTCGTGCTGAAGGGGAGCGAGGAGAAGAGAGAAGAGGCAGGGCGAAGGGAAGGAAGCGGGGGGAGGCGACGTGCTCCATCATCCCGCCTCCTCCGCCTCCTCCGCCACCTCCCCCTCCTCCTCCTCCTCTTCTTCCCCCTCCTCCTCCTCCTCCTCCTCCTCCCTCCTCCTCCTCCTGTTCCTCCTCCTCCTCCTCCTCCTCCTCCTCCCTCCTCCGCCTCCGCCTCCGCCTCCGCCTCCGCCTCCGCCTCCGCCTCCGCCTCCGCCTCCGCCTCCGCCTCCGCCTCCGCCTCCGCCTCCGCTCCGCCTCCGCCTCCTCCGCCTCCGCCTCCGCCTCCGCCTCCGCCTCCGCCTCCTCCTCCTCCTCTCCTCTCCTCCTCCGCCTCCTCCTCCTCCTCCCTCCTCCTCCTCCTCCTCCTCCTCCTCCTCCTCCTCCTCCTCCTCCTCCTCCTTATATGTTTCCTCAAACTTCGGATGGACACCACACGTGCGCCACGCGCGCTCTTTAGCTCTGGCGCCGCCAGAATACTCTCACGACAACTGACGGGTCTGCACAGCCCGGAACAAGCAGCGTATGGAGACGACGGTGCCGACGGGAGATCCGGACGCGTCGAGCGTGTGGCCCAAGGGCAGCATGTGGATATCCAGATGTGAGGCTGCGCGCACTGTTCCGCGAGTTCGGTGCAGTTATACACAGTATTCCACAGCGGCAGACTCATGTTCATCCTCCCCCTCTGGTATCCCCTCCTCTCACCCTGCTCCTATTGAGGACTGTTTCCTTGTGTCTGAAGACAGGTGTGATGGAGGAAGAGAAGAAGATGCCCACGACCGAGACCGAACGCGGAAAGGTCTGTGACGATCTTGGTCATCGTCCATCCTGGACATGGTCAATTCGTGGACCATCCTCGCGAATCAGCGACGGCCCGCATGGACTATGACCAAGATAGGCGTCAACTATCGGCGGTGCGCAAAGGGGGTGGAGGGAGGGGGAGGGCTTCTTAGAAGGAGGCTGCTTCTTAGAAGGCGCCGGCCTTACAGGCCTTACCTCTATACACAAGGCCCACGCCTTCTAAGAAGCAGGGGTGCTTCTAAGAAGCCCTCCCCACTCCCCCCACCCCCCTCTGCGCGTGGCTGAGAGACGATTCGTGACCCCCAGAGCTGCACCTTCACTGATCAGGCGTGACACATGGTTGCAGATCTTGCTCCAGGAGAGCCCAGAATCGAATGGATAGATCGGATCGGCAGTCGAAAGTCATCGGATCTGGGGAAATCGGCAGCCAAGTCGGGAGAAGTCCAATCGGCGGAAATCTGCAGGCTAATGAGGCCCCCTTTGGGAAACCAGAATCCAGATCGGGATCCGAAGTCGAATCGGATCGGAATCAGAATCGATCGACATCGCATCGAAGGGAGTAGAACGAATCGAAACGACCCCGCTTGCTCCGGCACTCACACGTCCCCTCCATGCGGGGGCCGTCTGGGCGCGAGAGCCGCGCGGGCGCCTCGCGCGCGCGCCCAGGTGCTGAGGGGCAGCGCCACGGCGACGGTGGGGCAGGTGCGAACGAGCGAGCGAAGCGAAGGACCGCCGCTACGGACAGGCGTCTGGGCCTGACTCAGGCCAGGTTTAGGTCGGGCGTGTCCTCCAACAGGCGGATGTTGCAAGAAGCGTGAACCGTAGTCACATCATAATCAAACATGGTCAAAAGTAGCATAAACATCTTCACCAGGCTATTTCTTGCCTGCTTGTCTATCTTCCTCCTGCAGAGGGACATGCCCGACGTAAGGTCAGGTGGGTAACCCCGTGGCCTCTGGGATTCCTTGCATTCAAAAGTATATGACTTGATTTGGTGACCGCCTGAAGCCTCGGCGAGGCGCGCCTGCTGAACTGGCCCGTGCGGAAGAGGACATCCCGCAAATGCGGACAACATCCCAAAATCATCACATTGGGGGGGGAAGGGGGGGGGGGGGCAAAGGTCCGATCGGACGCCCGAAAGCGTCACGCCCCAATCGTGGGGACGGCGAAATTGTAAAACAGACCTGCCATGACGGGCAACGCTGGCGGCGAAGGTGAAACGCTGGACGCAGTATGAACAGGCGTGCTCGAGGAGAGGGGAGGAGAGGGGAGGAGGCAGGAAGGGACGTTGAGGCGGAGGGCGACGGAGGTCAGTTCTGCATGGGGAGCCGTGCGAAAATAGCAGCTGCAGGTGCGCCGACCGTGACCCCTGGGGCACCATCCGGACCAGGCGAGGTCCAGCACCCACGCGCCTGCCTGGCCAGACCAGGGGGGTGCGCGCATCCAGGCCTGTGGCCCGGGACAGGTCCCGCCAGGCCTGGCGCTGGCATCGTGCACTGAGCCCTACGACCAAGCCTGGGCTCCACAGCACCTCGGCCGCCGCGTCCCTGGCCCGGAGGGGCGCCCCACCCTGGAGGAAGGAAGAGAACGGCAGAGGACAAGCTCTCGGCGCTCCGCGCGGATCTCTTGGATCGGCGCTGGGCCCCCTTGGCGGCGCCTCTCAGCGCCGCGCCCGGCGCGCTCCGCGCGTCAGGGAGGGGGGTCCAGAGGCGTGCCAAGAACTCTAGGCGGGCGGATCTCCGAACGTTTATGTTTAGGTCGAGCCTGTCCTCCTACAGGCCGGTTTTGGAAGAAAAATAATAATAAAAAAGAAATTGTCAAAATCGTCCCCTGATTAGGTTCGATTACGGATACTCCTCCTGTAGAGGGACATGCCCGACTTGTACAAGTTGATGCTTATGCTTCTTGCTCTTCTCCGACGCCGTCGCCCAGGCGGCCGCCGGGCGGCCTCCTCCTCCTCAGGGACGGGCTGGTTGTTCTTGTCCCCCGACAGGCTCGCCTGGGCCCCGCGGCCGGCGGAGTGGGCCGAGGGGACCCCGGGGCCGGGAGAGCGGGAGCGCCGGAAACGAGCGACCGGGGAGGAGGCTTCGGGCTCTGGGGGCGAGGGGCGTGGCAGGGTGCGGGCTCCAAGGAGGGGAGAGGAGGAACAGGAGGGAGGAGGAGGAGGAGGAGGAGGAGGAGGAGGTGGAGGAGGAGGAGGAGGAGGGGCGGGAGCGGCGGAGACACACGATTGGAGGATGTTTCGGGATCAGGGGCGAGGGGGGCGCGGCAGGGTGCGGGCCAGAGAGAGGAGAGACGAGGAGACACGAGGCAGGGCGTGGGCAGCCGTCGTGGGGAGGCACGAGGCAGGTCAAGAGGGTGTGGGGGGGCCCGAGAAGGCAGCCGACGTTCCCAGAGATCCGATGTTTTGGAGTCCCGAAACAGTGCGGTGACGGACCGTGCGGTGACCTCGAAATCCCCCAAGACCTCACCGCACGGTCCGTCACCGCACGGTCTTGGGACCTCGGAGGCCCCCGTCGCCCGAGACGTCCTCGGAGAACGACCCGAGTCCCAAAACCGTGCGGTGACCCCGAATCCCCACTGGCTCACCGCACGGTGTGGTCACCGCACCGTTTGGGGGCCCCCGAGATGTCGTGATTTGTTCAATACGGGGTCCCAGGAAGTCTCGACCCATTCCCCAGGACCAGGTCCTCATCCCGAGTCGTTTATGGACGGTCCCGGGGCCTGGCGAGGGTCTCTGGAGGCCGAAAATGGCGAAAAGACTCCGTCTTGATTCGTTCACGACTCTGGATCTCTGGGTTTGGGGAAGCGCGAGAGGAAGGCGGGGATGCGGAGCGCACACGCCGTGTGGGCATCGAAGGATCGCGCAAGGGGAGGCATCGGAGCGGCGGGGACAGGGCGCAGAGGATGTGGACGAGCGGCGGGGGGCGAGGAGGCGTGGCAGAGCAGGGGCATGCCCACGATGCTCCGGAGCTGGTCTCTCGTTCGGGATGCCCTGGCCACACCGCAGAGCAGCCCTCGCCTCGCGGCAGAAACGATGGGCATCAAACCTCCGTCGGGAACCGTGCGAGCGACGATCACAAAACGGGTCTCACGCCGCGAGATGGCACAGCGCCCTCACGCGGTGGCTTGCGCGGGCCGCCAGCGCGGCGCGCCACAGCGGAGACGAGGGCGCTTACGCGGGACCTCACGCGGGCGGCTCACGCCGCCAGTGTCGGTGAAGACGACCCCGTTGTTTGACGCGTCGCTGGCCTGGGGTGTCCCAGCCAGGCTGAAGGGGCCCCAGGACACACAAATAAATACACACAAATAGAATAATCCCCCATATTTTCCCATATTTTCTGGGTTTCTGTCTTCCCCCCCACTTCCCATATTTTCGCATATTTTCTTGGGAATCGACGATTAATTGTGTCTGTGTGTTTTTTTCCCTCCTGACAGGCGCAGTGCAGCCCTCACCTCGCGGAAGAAGCCATCGGCATCAGACCTCCGTCGGGGATCGCGCGGCACTGCAGCACAGGCACCGCTCCGTCCGCCCGCCCGCCTGCCTGCCCGGGCAAGAGCTCGGCTGCAGCCCGTGCGGGGGGGCGCACCGCGGACATCCAGTTGCGGCACTGGAAGTAGAGGTGACCCACCTGAGCCCGCTGCACGCCCACGCCAGGCAGAGGAGCCGAAGCAGAAGGCTGGATAGCAGCGCACTCGCTGCTCGAGCCCAGGTCTCTCGAGCGCAACGGTCCCCCTCGCGCAGAGGTGGCCAGTCGCTATAGCGCACCGAGCCCAGAGTATGTTGACCAAAAGGCCGAGGTTGCAGTAGCCCTGAACTCTTCCTCCTCCTCCTCCTCCTCCTCCTCCTCCTCCTCCTCCTCCTGGGAGTCCAGGGTCATGGCCAGGGCAGGGGGTGGGGCGCACCACCCTGAGGTGGCTGGCTGTTGCCTGGGGGGGACCGAGGCCAGGGGCTTCTCTGGAAAAGGCAACCTGGGAGAGCAAAAAGATACCGATGCCGCTCCTCCGTGGAACTCTCGAGGGGGCGCGTTCTGACCAAAATCTCGAGGCGAATCCCGCCGTAGCGGCGAGGGACGGGTGGGGGTTCCGGTACCTCCTCCTCTGGGGACTTGAAGGAACCTCCTCCCCCATCCCGCCCTCCCTCGCTGTTGGCCGCGAATGGGGGGCGATAATTGAGGGGGGCCCTAAAGGCTCCCTCTTTGACCCTTAGAGGCCCCCTCAGTGGCCCTAAAGGGCCCTTTTTGGGGTAGCCCTCGCTGCCCCCCTAATTTATCGCCCCCTCTTACTTCGCGCCCAAGCTGCCTCCCCTCGGCCTGTGCCAAGTGGGCCTGGTGCCCCATGACTGTTCTGGTCTGTTCAGAGTTGGGCGCCCCTGCTCGCACTTGGGGGCGGCGGGCGGAAGAAGTGTTA